CCTCATTCACTCCTACTCTGATAGTTGCACGAAATAAGATGCGGATCGAGTCATTCTTTTGATGAAAACTCGATTCCTCAGACCTTTGCAGTCTCTCTGTGCTAAATAACATTGAAGATGTAATGATAGAAATTATACTTGTCAAGATCGTATCCTTGCGTGAATCTTTTAATCAATAAACGATTAAGCAAATTTCCCCTTTTTTAAACAATGAATAATTGAAATTTGAGAAGATGAATAATGAATGACTGAATTGGCATATTGACTCAAATAAACAATTTTTAAATCAATTGCTACTTCTTAATAATGAAAGGGAAATATGAAATAGTTATTTGGTTCTCCAAACGAAAATGAGCAATGTTACTACAAAAGTAGATTTTTGTTTTGACACTCAAAAATCGTCACCAAAAATTCATATCTTTGTTTCTATTTAAATACCTTAAATCTGTTAAAAAGACGTATGTAAACTACTGTTCATTCATGCAAGAGCAGTTTCAATAAAATTGTTTGTCTACATCACCATTAGTCAAAAAGGAAGTAAAGTTTCCCATTATACATGCATCAACAGGTTACATTCGAAGTTCCTTCAGATTAATATTCAAAATGTGAATCCTTCTATTGGATTATAGTTATTAACAAATATGAGAAAGTAACATGGTTTTAACAAGCATACGAAATCAAGTTTGACAGAGAAATCCATCCAACTCTTTATTGTCAAATTATTGAATTTCAATCAACATAGCACGAGATTATTCATAGCCTAATCTGCAAAATATTGGCTGTCTTCATTATGTCCTTAATTCTTCCATGGCTCCGAACGCATTTCAATTGAAAAGAATTGTTACAATTTCGCCAAAATATGTCTGTTATTTGACCCTTCGGCCTATTAATTAAGGTCATTCTTCAAGACCTTAATTAATTGATATTTTCAACTCAAGGGCATTTTTTGCATTCATCTACTTAGTTACTTTAATTGTTGTGGTATTTTATTAATTGTTTAATTCATAAAGCAGTCACTAACCGAAATGAGATAATTAGCGATCATACCACACCAGTCATAAATTTATACCAGCATTTAACAGTATGAGTTGATATTTTTTAGAATTCAATCAACTCCAAAGTGAGTTGGTGCAGGATACCGTGTCAACTTAGGTTGGACATAATTTACCACAAAGTCTTAAGTTAATATATATTGGATGGAGTAAATATTTATCCACATTAATATACCTTCGGACTGCCTTATTCGAGATAATGCCTTCATTCTGAAATCCACTTTGATGGTTCACGATAATAGTCTTTGTGGTCATTGTCATTGCATTTGTGATGTCATTGAAAGGAGCAGATGGTAGGCATTTTGGCAGAAGAAATTGGTTCGTATATTCAGTCGAATGATTGTGACATGAGGAGAGGTTCCATTCCGTCGTTTGATAGTAGCACATTTTCGTGAGCTTTTGGCTTGAACACTTGGGTTACAAAATTCCACGTCAGATTATAGATCTAAGGGAGACCTTTGGACAACGAGATCCCTGTTATTTGGCTTTAAGATTTGCATAAACTCTGACAGACTACTGGTTTCCTTTCGCGAGTAACTAGACACAATTCAGAAATATTAGAAATCTGGATCAAGTATTAATTCTACTCCAATACCTTTTCGGACATCCAAAAGTGTCAGTGATTGGTTTCATTAGCATTGCATTAGTCCTTAACTCTAGATATGACATGAACACTATACGAGGTCAAAAATATCAACTCATACTGTTAAATGCTGGTATAAATTTATGACTGGTGTGGTATGATCGCTAATTATCTCATTTCGGTTAGTGACTGCTTTATGGATTAAGTAATTAAAAAAATAGCACAATAATTAAAGTAATTAAGTGGATAAATGCAATTAGTGCCATTAAGTTGACCATGTCAAGTAATTATAGGCTTGAAGAATGACCTTAATTAATAGGTCGAAAGGTCAGATAACAGACCTTTTTGAAGAAATTTTGACAAATCTTATCATTTGAAATGTGTTTGGTGCCATGAAAGAATTAAGGACATAATGACAACAGCCAATATTTTGCAGATTAGGCAATGAATAATCTCATGCTATGTTGATTGAAATTCAATAATTTGACAATAAAGATTGGGTTGAATTTCTCTGTCAAACTTGATTTCGTATGCTTGTTAAAAGCATGTTACCTTCTCAAAATTTTTGATAGCTATAATGAAATAGAAGAATTCACATCTTGTATAATAATCAGGTGGAAATTCGAATTTTACCTGTTGCTTCTTGTATAATGGGAAACTTTACTTCCTTTTGGACTAATACTGATGCAAAAAATCAATTTTAGTGAAATTTTACTTGCCTGATTAAACAATAATTTACATATGTCCTTTGATCAGATTTTAGGTATTCAAATAGAAACAAAGATATCAAATTCGGTCAAAGATTTATGAGTGTCAAAGCGGAAATCGACTTTTATAGAATCATTCCTCTTTATCGTTCGAGGAACCAATAGCTATTTTATATTTCCCTTTCATAATTAGTGAAGTAGCAATTAATTTAAAAATCATTTATTTGAGCCAATATGCCAATTCAGTCACAAATTATTCACCTTCTCAAACTTTCTATTTATCATTGTTTATGAAGGGGGGGGATCGCTTCATTGTTAATCGATTAATAGATTTAGGCAAAAATACGTCCTTGACAAGTATAATTTCTGTCATTACATCTTCAATGTTATTTATCACAGAGAGACTGCAAACGAATGTCGAATTGAGTTTTCACCAAGAGAAAGGCTCGATCCGCATCTTATTTCGTGCAACTATCAGAGTAGGAGTGAATGAGGTGTGTCGATGAGTTGTCCAATGTTCTCAAGCATTCCCACCACTTCAACACCCACACCCACTTCCACCATTACAACCACTCCTACGCACACTCTCACCCTCACCATCATCATCTTCACCGCCATCATCATCACCTTCGCCTACACTTCCAGCAAGACATTTCTATGGACTAAGCAAACAACGGGTGTACAACGCGCACAGCGCAACACAACTCCACACACTACTGAACTATTACCTAAACGTCACCAGTTAGTCGCAACGCCACCATCACATTAAAGCACACGCCGAACAACAATATTGATTAGACCAAATAAACACCAGATCAATACCGTTCCTCACACAGTGTCTAAGTAAATCATGAAGTAGGAAAAACAAAAATGTAAGGCCAAAGATTTATTAGATGAAATGTCGACAGACACAAGAAC